AATATCAAAATCTTCCCCAACATAAACGATAGGTACGTGAGCCTTGTCTAGACTGGCCTCAAATATATAATCATACAATTTGTTTCGCTTCAAAGCTATATTCCAATCCATCACTTGTATCGCATGAAGACTTTCCGCTTCATTATGTTGCCGCAAAATCATAGATTCCTGAAAAACCAGTTAAAAATAGTATAAAATTCAATTTTTGATTTATGTATAATTTAAGTGATCGTACCTTAATCTTTTCCCACTTGTCGTCCACATCTTGTAACCAGCTGAGCAACAATCGGCCATTGAAACGACAGCGTGCACTCTTCTCCTTTTCATCTTGCTCGGGGGTAATCATATTATAGATTTCATCATCTTTTAGAAATGTGCAAACGGAATATGGCGCACATTGTCCAGATATACTCCTTGCTGCTTTTGAATGTACTCGGATTATTTCTTGTTCAACGCTTAAACATAGTTTTTCTCGTTCTACTATGTGCTCTTCGGTCAAGTCTCGCCTGGCTTTTTCTTGCTGCCGATACAAGCTTCGCATGCTCTCAGGAATGTCGTCCGGTACCTCTATTTCCGGCGTAGTTACATTCTTATTTAAAAGATAAGTACGTTTGGTAAGGAGATAATCATTATAGCCCTGTGGTGGCCTGGGCTTAACGGGATATAGATTCTTCCATTTCCTTTCCACTTGCCTTCGAATATTTAAGAACATCTGAAATCCATTGGTAAAGGGATAATCATGTGGATGAGATTCTCCAGAAGCCATAGATGTATCAGCATGAGAATTTTTCGAGTTATCATCATTATTTTTGGGTCTTATTTTACGCTTACGCGGATGCAGGTCAACATTTGAAGATGAGATTATTTCTTTAGACGATGACGTTGATGAAGTTGAAGGGCTCGGCACATTTGGTAAAACTTCATGATCGAATTGATTATGTTGTATGGGACTCGCCGTCATATTGGTGTAAGAACCCTTGATATCAGCATTGTCATTGGCGTGGTTCGACGACGCTGGCGATGGCGAGCTGCTTTGCATTTGCGGGGAGGAGTTGTTAGAGCTGCGTTCAGCGCTTGTAACACCACTTCGATAAGAGCTGCGCAGGACCCTTAGATTTTTTTCATCATTAAACAATTTGATATTCTTGTCATCAAGAATTGTTGAGCAGGCAATATTGACTTTCTGTGGACTTTCATGTGGACTCAGACATTGGTTTGACAATACAGTATCAATCGAGTCACTATTAGAACTGACAACATAAGGCAAGGCTGCATTTCGAGATGCAGCTACTTTGCCAGTTCGTAAAACATTACCATCTGTGTCAATCGAGCAATTCTGCTGAGGAATGACAATTTTCAATGGTGGCACTTTTAAGGCACCATTATATGAGCTATCATTGCTCTTATAGTCCTCACTACCCTCCGTTTCATTTTCAATGTCGACAGTCTTGGTTGCTTCCAGCTCTTTATCAACAACTGTCGTGCTTATTTTACTACCTGAAGGCGAGTTTTTTGTAGATGCTAGCTTCGAGTTTTTCTCCAGCTTAGAAGATATTTTCAGCGAGGTAGTTTTTAAATCTTTTGTATTATCCAAATCTTTTCGTTTCTTCTTCTTTAAGTCGTCCCCATGCTCTTCAGGGTCTTCCTCAACATCCGAATAGCTGCGCTTTGTGCTTGTGACGCTTTGCGCTATATTTTGTTCAGCATTTTTACCATCCGTAGTAGATTCCTCTGTTGATGGCTTCTCCTTGGTATCAATAACTTCTATCTGCTTTTCCGTAGCACTGACTTCTTCAACATCTGCATCACCCTTTTTATCATTTTTCTTTGAATGCGTTCGAGTTGTCTCTAAAAATATAATAAAATACGCCACATTGAATAAATTTATGCATACACAAATTTTGATATTCTTACGAATGTAAATAAAAGTAAAACACTATGATTATATTTTATTACCGTCTTAAGTCCAGTTGTTACATTTTGGGTGATTTGGATGTTCCGCCCATAAACATCACTTCTTCCTATTGTTCCTATGATACATTTATGATTTATATTATAGTTATAATCTGAACACACAATTTTTCATATTGTTGACAACTGTTCTTAATGCTCACTCAATTAAGTAAAGATAGTTAAATAATATATTGTTTCTATATTTTATGGCGTCGCATTAGCCTCCTTCTATATATTTATTTTGTGACAACTTTGGCCTTTCCCAAGGCATATTAATACCCCATTCGCCGTCACAACAAATTTCTATGAGGGCGTAATTTTTACACTGCTTGCAAATACATACACACACGTATGTATGTGAATTCATTCATTTGACGGAACATGCATAAAACTTGCATTTGCATGTGTGCACGTTTGTATATGTGCATGCATTAATACACAAAATTGGGAGTACCTTATTAAGGCGTTATCTATAAAGTACTGCGTGTAATAGAAAAGTCCCGAGGGCTAATGAAAGAAAAATGAGATCACTCCAAATTTTTCCTACACACATACACGCACAAACACACCTATGCATGTGATTATATGAGCCTATTTAGTTATTAGTTTTAAAAGTGTATTACGCCCACATGTTTGGTAACTCCGTGCAACTTTAAAGATTTGTTGTATGTATACGGTATTGTATGTATGTACGCAATTACACACGTACAGATTTACATAAGTATGCACATATAAACATAGATTTGTATGTTTGGCTTACCTGTTGAGGACGTTGCTGTCATTTGGATTAATAAAGCCATTTGTTGTCTCTCCGACATGGGGGTATTTGAGCTAGGTCTAGCTGGTGTGACCCCTGTAGTAAATCCTATCCCCTTTGGTCTTGGGGGTGGCATAATACCCAAATTCAACAGCAAACACGAAAACTTAAAATGTTGAACAAAAACAAGAACTCAGACTGAATGGCAGTGTGACCGTAAACTGAAAGTGCGAAAATACCTAACCACAAAAACTATCGAACACATAAACTAACTATCGTTAATTCAGTGTGGCATTTTCCGATAAAAAAGAAGAGTTTTTGCGATATTCAAACGCGGTCTAATCTCTGTATATATTTGCATGCTTCTTTTTGTTCAAAATGTTTTATCCAATTTTTTTTAATCGCTATTCATATAATTTAATACCTTATTAACAGATCCCTCGGTGGAGCGAACTTTGGCACGAAATCAACATTCTCTTAACAGAGCTTCATCCAATGTTGTGAACCCGTTTTAAAATTAGCCCGACGCAAATGCCCAAATCGGAAATTCATGAGTTTTATAATATATATAATCAAAACGTCACTTTGTAGAATGTAAGTTTTATTTTCACGTTTGTTTTGAGTGGGCAACACCAAATGCTTATCATAGAATAGAATTTTTTCAAAAAGTGCCCTCATTTTCTTTGTACCGGGCGCTTGTAATTGTTTTTTCTCATACATAGGTTATCTTTTTTTATTTTCTGTACTTTATACTTAACGTCTGGCTGGTGCCCTGCCTCGTCCACGTCCTCGTGGACCACCACGTCCACGGCTGCCTCTGCCTCTTCCACGATTTCCAACACGCCCGCTGTCCTTTTTCTTTGATTTTGACTTTGGAGTATCGTCTATAAGCAAAGTTTCCAGTGGCAGACTGTCCGGCAATATAAAGTATCGTATATTGTTGCCACGAATGCTTAAGGACTCCAAGTGCACTGGATCTCTGTTTTTGATGGTCATTTTAACACTTTTGAGGTGTGTATTCATGGCTACGTCCACTCCAGTAATTGTTCCATGGATTTGGGTTCCATTTTTCAATTCGACTGTTACAGTTTCGTGACTGAGCTTCATCAGAAATCTAGAATAAATGTTAAAACATATAAATAACTGCAATTGTTTTGGGATTTGTTTGTTTTGGGCTAAAGATATGAATATATTACTATATTGTTTGGGAAATTTGTTGCGTAGCAGAACACAGCTTAAGTAGCATTTATTATAGTCTATTCGAAGATATTTTAATATTGACGTAATTTATATATCTACAAGTATGAACCTTTAAATTTGGCGCTTAAATAAAACACGAGACGCGTACGTACATATATACAAACACACGCTTATTTTTAATAAAGTTCGGTCGTATTTGTCGACTGTGGCCGGTATTTGGGATGCATCAACATTTTTACGTAGATATCACTCGTATAAAATTATATTTCGTTAATATTTTGATTTTAAATATAATATCCCTGTACACTTAAGCATACGTATAACTGCACATGCCTATTTGTATTCACATATGTATGTATATATGTAAAATAAAGCAACCATGTTTATGTATGAAACAATATAATTATATGTAATACACAGATTTCGCATACCTCACCAATTTCATTTTGAAATATTTGAATATCAATACACGCTTACGAATATATTGTTATAGGTTTTAAAAAAAATTGACACTACTATTTGCCAAATATATGATAAATACAAGCCGAGCTGCACCGGCAATAAAAAATGACTAAAATATCGAAGCCGGTGCTATCGATATTACATTGCAACACTGCATTGGGGAGTCACGATAGCGCCACATTTGTTTGCATATTGTCAGTCCTTGAGTATTTGAATAAAAGTTTATAATTATCAGAAAAGTGGATATTATAATAGATAGGGGACTTGACGCTTAATTTGATTTCCTATTAATATATTAACTGTCATTGCTTTGTATAGAAAATCAGTTTCTAAAAATGTTTTCTTTTCGTAAATAGTCGGTTGCCCTTCTTAATTGTTAGTATTATTTTTGTTGTTTATAATTTAGGAATAGAGACCATTATGCTAATTAAATATATTGCAATGCAGAATAAACAATCATTTTCGACCGATTTATTTCATACAATTGAAACAAGTAGTATTTTAAAGTTGTAGAATAATTTGCTTATTATGTTGCATTTTCTCATGTTCCAAAATCGTAGCTGGCTCTCCATGGTTTTAGGGTGTGATAGATAACTTCTTAGAATACTTTTTTTCAACAGTTTTTCAACACTACATCGCCCGTGCCAAAAAGAACCCAGCCAGTATTAACTGAACTAGCAGCATAAATAATTTTGTAATAATGTGGCTATAAAAGTGCACAGAAGTGAAGTTGATATAAAAGGAGAGGGACTACCTTGTGCCCTTTGAAATACTCAAAAGGATCCACATAGTTATAAGGCGATGGCGTGTTTTTACGAACACCGAATAGATGCTTATGTGATACTTATACTTTTCTTATTTACTAACTTATTTGCGCAAGGATATAGTAGAGGTAAAAATTAAATAAAAACTTATGACAAACATAACTATTCTACTGACATCTCAAGTGGATCATTCAGTTAGCGTTCTGGCATTTGATTGTTTTGTGTTTTGTTTTGCGTGCAATATATACAAATGCCTGAATACAAGTGTATACACCCTTATATATACATACATATTTTTTGCATATGTATGTGTACATGCCGCTTACTAAACGTGCAAAACTTGATATATATATATATATAAATACATGCCAACTTTTTAACGTTCATAAATTGAAAATATATTTAAATCATCGAGAGCACAGCTTTTGTCATAATTTATAAATGTTTTTGTCTATCAAGGGTGTAAATCTTTGGGAGGACCAATCCCAGACAAAAGCAACTTCACAAAAACTCAATTCTCATACTCATAACTATAATTAAAAGCTATCATGGTTCAAAGTTATACAAAGAAATACGTTTCGTCTTCTAAATTACTTGTGATTAAGAAAATAGTATAACAATCTTTAAAAATGCAACAAAAAACATTTGCTTTAGGGTTGAGTAGTTAGAGTTAATCAATTGGAAGATAATTTTAAGCCAATATCATTTAATATGACATCATCTGTACACTCGATACAATGAAACTATTTTCTATTGTCGGGCGTAGCCCTCTCTCTACGCCTTATCATCTAAAAGTGTTAATTTTTAATAGAGTATCCAATTAATAAATTTTTTTAATTATTGTCTAAAGCATTAACATTCTTACCTTTCCGTTCTAGAATGGGTTGAAGTTGGAAGGAACTCGTCCTTGGAATGTGCATCTGACCACGAACCAGCGATTTGGATATTTAATAATGATACCAATTATAAATTTGATACCAGGTACGTCAGTTTACCAATTAGCAGGGTTCTGCTCAGGTCTTGGAAGAAGGAAGATGGTCGCATTCTTTCAGCTGTCCTTAAAGAGAAGTTTTTACGGATTTAATAATTAATTCGAACAAATTTAATTATTTTTGTTCTTATTTTTGCAAAAGAAAATATTGCACAATCATCATATTGTAACAATTAATTTAATCTTTGATGTATTAAAGTCTTAATTTATTATTTACAGATTTACAACTGCTAACATTATTAATCCAGAGGACAATGACAATGAAAACATAAATAATGATGTAAAAAAGTATAAAAATATACTTTACATACATGACGTTAAGATATCGGATAGTGGGAATTATACATGCAAAAACCCTCAAACGAACGCTTCAGTGGAATTTAATATACAGCCATTCCTCCAACCGAAGATTATAGAAAGCACTGTTGAAAATATAAAGCGAAAAATTAAACAAAGTGCCATTATTTATTGTGTATTCGAAATTTACCCACAAAACACGTCGACAAACAAGCAGCTTAAATGGCTTAAAGATGGAAGCCCTGTGGCTTTCATAGATGACTATACCTCAGTCCATCGGCTGAGCGATACACAATTGAACTTTACATTGGAATTTACAGAGTTGTATAAAAAGGAAAATGGTACATATAAATGTGTTTTATATGGCGACAACGAGGCTGAGATCATTTCTAAAGAAATAACATTGCTTGTAATGGAAGTGCCACAGATCAGCATTGATTATGCGAAAGCTGTTGGTGCAAGCAAAATATATTTAAATTGGACGGTCAATGATGGAAACGATCCCATTCAAAAATACTTTATTCAGTATTCACAAGAAGGATCGCCCACATTCAAGTATTACAAAGATATCATAAATGGCAACAATACATCATGTGTCCTCGATTCGTTTAGTCCTAATACAACCTATTATCTACGCATCACAGGAAAAAATTCCATTGGCAATGGTTCGCCGTATCAGTATCCATTCGGTGTTACTACCTTGGATTATGATCCAACTTTTATACCAAAAGTTGAAACTACCGGGAGCACAGCATCAACCATTACGATTGGATGGAGTCCTCCTTCCCAAGATCTAATTGAATATATTCAATATTATGAATTGACTGTCTCCGAGTCTGGGGATGTGCCGAAATTAATTGAGAAGGCCATTTATCAACAAAATTCCAGAAATTTGCCATATATGTTCGATAAATTAAAGACCGCTACAGACTATGAATTTCAAGTGCGAGCATGCAGTGATCTTACAAAAACCTGCGGCCCATGGTCGGAAAAGGTGAATGGTACCACAATGGATGGCGTCTCAACGAAACCAACCAATTTGAAAATCCATTGCAATCAACAAAACATTTCCAGGCTCAACTCGATCTCCATTAGCTGGAATGTACCACAAACACCAAATGGAAAAATAATTTCATACTTAATTATTCTGGAAGGAAATTACACATACTATAATCAAGAGGGTATGATATTAACAGAGAAGTGGGGCCCTAAAATACGACGAGTCGATGAGCCCAGTCACAAAACGATTTATGAAGGCGTTAGTCCAAATACAAACTATACTGTTACAGTCTCTGCAATCACGAGGCATAAGAAAAATGGCGAGGCTGCGGTTACGAATTGCTTTATGCCGATTTCAACACCCGAAACTATTGGCAAAACAATGTGGACGAAAGTGAAAAACGGCCCAAAATATGTTCTAAAATTATACTTGCCCAAAATAAGCGAAAGAAATGGACCTATATGTTGCTATCGACTTTATCTTGTCAAAATAATAAATGGAAACAACGAACTACCCACTCCGGATAAACTGGATGTTGCTACGTTTAATGAAATGCATAATAATAGCAACATTAAGACCAATAATTATGCATATATAGCTGAAATGCTTAGTAATCGGTATTTTAAATCGGAAATATTTTTGGGAGACGAAATGCGATTTATTAACAAGCAAGAAGATCTAATCGACAATGATAAAATATGTCGCAAATGCTTGGAGGGCGCGCCCTTTTTAAGAAAACAGGAAAGTGCCTTTAAAACAGGTAAGCATGTACTTAAAACGATATCATGTATAGATATTGTTCGTTTCTTTGTTTTTGTTTTTAACAAGATTCCATTTCAACTAAAATTATTTTATTTGTAGATTCCGCCCTGACTCCAGCACAAATTCAAAAAGAACAACTACTTAAAGTTGGGAATTTGACAGACCATGCTTTACAAGTTTTAGAAAGTAAAATGAGAATAAGACGAAATCCCACTGTTGGCATTGAAAAGGAACAAACAAATATTAGCAATCCGAATAATATCGGAGATATATACGATGGCGAAATTGACATTAATGCTAATTATACTGGTTTCCTTGAGATTATTGGTAAGTGAAGTATAAAAATACACAAGTGACGGCAAAAAGATGAATTAAATTTCTGTATTATGCAGTTCGATCCGGAAGTACGGTTCTTATGGCGTATAGTGATTACTTTGATGTCATTACACCTGCAACTGAGGCTGAGCAAATACAATCCCTGGATGATACGAAGTTTTATTTAAATATCGGCATAAAAGCAGTTGCTATTGCAATTGGATTTATTGTAATTTTTATAATATTTTGGATAATTCACCATCAAAAGACAAAGAATGCAATGCCTGACGAAGATACATTAACTCTAAGAGATTCTTTAAGGTATTTATGATTAATTTAACTGTAGAAATATAATCTTGATTACTTAATGATTTGTATAATTGCAGAACCCTCTTTAGACGTCGAATAAACAATCATAGTCAGTTTATAGGCTCCGGAAATCAGAAAGGTTTTGATACGGGACCTATTCATAAGACAGATTTAGTTAGTGCCTATAAAAACCGACATAAGGATACGGATTATGGATTTCTACGGGAATATGAAATGCTTCCTAATCGCTTTACGGATCGAACTACCAAAAATAGTGACATGAAAGAAAATGCTTGCAAGAATAGATATCCGGATATAAAAGCTTATGACCAGACTAGAGTCAAATTATCACCAATTAATGGAAACCAATGCACTGATTATATAAACGCCAACTTTGTCATTGGATATAAGGAAAGGAAGAAATTTATATGCGCACAGGGTCCCATGGAAACAACAATAAACGATTTTTGGCGAATGATATGGGAACAACATTTAGAGATCATTGTAATGCTGACAAATCTGGAGGAATATAATAAGTCCAAATGCGCGAAATATTGGCCAGAAAAGGTCTTTGACTCCAAACAGTTTGGGGATATTTCAGTAAAATTTACCGCAGAACGAAAAACTGGCGATTATATTATACGGTCCCTAGATGTAACAAAATCAAATCTGATTGGTGATGAAGAAGATCACAGGCAAATTACACAATATCATTACCTTACTTGGAAGGATTTTATGGCTCCCGAGCATCCTCATGGCATCATCAAGTTTATACGTCAAATTAATTCAGTCTACTCGGTGCAAAGGGGTCCAATATTGGTGCACTGCAGCGCAGGTGTAGGTAGAACAGGTACTCTTGTGGCATTGGACTCCCTTGTACAACAGTTGGAGGAGGAAAATATGGTATCCATTTTTAATACAGTGTGCGATTTACGTCACCAGCGTAACTTTTTGGTTCAATCACTGGTAAGTCCATGTTGTATTTTATGAACTTGTAAAATATATTTGTTAAACCTAGTGGAAACGATTTTTAGGACCTTAGATTAGACTACCACCTATTAGGAAACAACATTAGTAATTTTTATTTTTTAACTTACAAAATAGTTTATACTGTTAAGTATTAGGAAATTCTCTGTTTTATCCTTTTTGTATGTCTATGTCTATGGGTTCTCTAAAAGTCTGACAACCCACAATTGGATGGTAAACTTTGTAGCTATAACTAACACATATATTTTCTTATTTACAGAAACAATACATTTTTCTATACCGGGCATTGTTGGACACTGCCACCTATGGAAATACAGATATATCCTTAAATTTATTGCCATCAACAATTGAGTCCTTAAAGTTTAAGCCTAATGAAGGAAAATGCTTGTTAGAAATCGAATTTGAGGTTTGTATAAGGATATGCATATATTTTTTTTATTCATTAATTAATTTTTTTCCCAATTTAAAGAAACTTATAAACACAACGGATGAGATAAATAAGTCTTGCAGCGTTGGCGAAACTAAGGAAAATATGTTAAAAAATAGGTCCCATGAAATTATTCCATACGATCGTAATAGAGTAAGTAATAGTTATACTGATATTTTAAGGCTGAACTAACGCAAATGCATAATTAATTTTCAAGGTTATTTTAAGCCCCATACCAACGAACGATAATTCGACATACATAAATGCTTCGTTCATTGAAGGATATGATAATACTGAATCATTTATAATTGCACAAGATCCTATGGAAAATACTATTGGAGATTTTTGGAGAATGATATCAGAGCAGAGTGTTTCTACACTTATAATGATATCCGAAGTAAGCATCAGATTCATCCTAATTTTATATATAATACATCACATATTTATTTCAGATTGGAGACGGTCCACGGAAATGCCCTCGTTATTGGGCAGATGATGAAATTCAATATGATCAAATACTTGTAAAATACGTACACAGTGAAAGTTGTCCGTATTATACTCGGCGAGAGTTCTATGTAACGAATTGCAAAATAGATGATACCCTTAAGGTGACTCAATTTCAGTATAACGGTTGGCCGACTGTTGATGGAGAAGTTCCTGAAGTGTGTCGGGGCATAATTGAGCTGGTAGACCAAGCACACAAACATTATAAAAGTCACAAAAATACTGGCTGCCGATCTCCACTTACTGTTCACTGCAGGTTATTATTATTTTCACAATTGCTAATGGGATTCGTAAATGGCTTCCTGATGCTTATCCTTAAACTTACAAATTGATATCCGAAAATATTTGTATTTCAGCTTGGGAACTGATCGAAGTTCAATTTTTGTTGCGATGTGCATATTGGTTCAGCATCTCAGATTGGAAAAGAGTGTAGATATATGTTCAACAACAAGAAAATTGCGATCTCAGCGACCAGGACTTTTAAATTCATTCGTAAGTAGAAGAAATAATTGGTATCAAAGATTAAAACTCAATAATTATTCTACATTTGCTTTTAGGCACAATACGAGTTCCTACATCGCGCCATTTTAAACTATTCAGATCTACATAAGTTGTCGGAAAATATTGAGGATTAAATAAGATATTGATGTACTCATAGAAGAAGTGTGGATGAGTTTACACATACACAATACATAGATATTATAATAATGTACATTTCAAGAAACTTCATATAGTATGTATTTAAGTGCGGCGGATGTATACACATTTTTTTACCAATTTATTTTTAACCTTATACATATATTTGTATGTCTGTATGTGCGTATTTATACTGATAAAGCTACCAAAGGAAGAATATTAATTTATTTTATAAGATTATGTGTAAAGTAATAATAAATAAAATATGTATCTTTTACATTTAAGGAACCAGCACAACAGCTTAGAGCTACAAACAACTCAAATATTAGCTATCAATCAACCAAGGTCCTACATATCGTTATAACGATGACTGTACAATACTTAAGTATATTTTCTTTTTTTCAGCGATAACAACGAATTTTCATTTTAGTTTTTGGATTAAAGGAGAGACTTGCGAATATCTGTATATTGTTTTCCAATAGTTTGCCAAAGCCCAACTGAGTTTTAAATGCTGCTGAATACCATGAGAACCGCAGCAAAAGGCGGTAGGTATTTAAGAGAATATGTTTGAAAAATCAATGGCCTACCATCTTCGAGTCGCTCCTCTAATCCGAAGAACATTTTCAGCTGACTTTGAAAAGCAAACGGATATTGAAGACATGTAATTCACAAAAATCTGACATTGGCTTTGACCATAAATCAATTTTGAAATACTCTGCAATAAAGTTAACGAAAATCGCACAGAAAGGTGTTTTTATATCTTAATTGCTTGTGTTCCATATACACAAGCCTTGACTCCTGTTACACTAGACTACGCAAAACTGGTCAAAATTGATTAAACTGAAGTAAACAGACAGACATCTTGCGACGCCAATATTCTTGTTTTCCACACATTTCCCCTTTGTAAAGAGCATATTCAAATTCGGGGCGCAGACCAAAACTTGCATTCCATATTTATGTAATTACAAATGTACTTGTACGACAACTGAACTTGTTACACTAGTTTGCGGACCTTTCATTAAATTAATTAACTTTTTTGTGCAAATACTGTCCGGAGCACAGCACAACGTTCTGCATGTCGGTATCAGAGCATCCTGGGTTGCACTTGAATTCATCATCAAACTGAAAATGATGTTTTCAGTTAAAACTCAAGACTTGTGTCAACACTTATAAAAGGCCGCTCGGTACGTGCTCTGCTTAAAATTTAATGAATTTTTATATGCGCCCATTTAATGAGCAAAATTGTGAAAATGACTACAGAAAACAAGAAAAAGTAACTTTGATTCAAGTAATTTGAATAGATATTTTTTTATAAAGTAATAATAATTATTTTATTTTAATTTAAATTAATTTCTAAGAAAATTCGAAAATCTATCTTTTTTATGGAAAAATCCGCATCTAAAGGATACATTTGTTGAAGTCAAGTCATTTAAATAGATATTTTCTTATAAAATAATAATTTTGTTTTAAATTTAATAAATTGTCGAGCTGTAATGTTTGTACTTTGGATACTGAGAAAAATCGGAAATATATGTTTTGTTTTTATATAGATATTGTTTTTGACCCATTCTTTTAATTTAATCATAACATGCGCTTATCATAACGACAAACTGCGACACGTGCAATACATTTATAACTTTTTCGGAATCAACAAAAAAATAGATGAATATATTAAAAAAAAAAAAAAAACAATTATCATTATCATGGGGTTTTAATCAAACCGACTTGTGTCGCAGCTCTACTCAACGGTTATCTAACAAGGGTACATTCGCCCGTGTGCAGAGCGGACCAGCGCTCCATAAACAAATATTTACCTAATTCAATCCGTCATTTGGTAAGTCACAAGCGTGAGAACAGCAAACAAAAACTTTATATCTAACAGATGCATAAGCAGAGAGAGAGAGAGAGAGAGAGAGAGAGATCCTTGAAAGCTCCCTTTCCCCGCTGACGTTGCCAGCGAACGGAGGCTGACTTAATTTCACGTCTTAGCATCAGTTACGACCCCGCCAATTGGAAAAGTCAACGGACCGGCGGACGGACGGGCGGGTGGACTTCAAAGGAGCAACGCGCCCAACGATTCGCCGAGGGTATCTTATCCGCAACACGTGGCGCTTCGGCAGCGGGCGACGTTCGGCCTGAGAATGCCAATTGTTGTGCCGGCCATAAACTGCAGTCGAACGGGTGGATACTTGCATACTTGCTATGAATGAGATATTCACCGCACACACAAACACACACACACGCACACACATCAAACTCACCCATAAAAAGCAATAAACTAAAATTAAGTCAGAAAACGTGTCAAAGTCAGTGCCCAGTGCACTGACAGTGATGTAAAAACAAACACAAATAGCGAACGGCGGTCCTTGTTTACCTTCATAAAACCCACTACGGATGCCTTTGGCTTAGGCTTATAGAGAATCAGTGAGGTTTGATATGTATATATGTATGTATTATGAAGTAACCCTTGGGCGAAACTCACCCCATTCTAAGCAGAATCCCATCAAAATTCAAGGCATACTGCAAGCTCTCACACAAACACACACACGCACATAATAAATTTGTAATTCGTGGTGAATTTAGACTAACGGTACATAAGTAGTGTGAAATAATAATGTTGTTATAAAATAAGGAACTGTTACACATTCAAATGCGCGCCAAGCATGACGAGCATAACGTTAATTTAAATGTTTTGTAGGCATCAAAAGTGTTCTCAGTATATAAATATATGTGGACAATAGATATTAACGAAACGGTGCTATTCTATATGCTAATTGTTCGATCTGGAAATGAATATAAGGAGTTTTATAAAATTTATGATTCGAAGAAGTATATACATTCTTGTGCTGGACTATAAGCGGAGCCGATCTAGACACATAAGGGGGTCCGTTTTTTGGTTTGTCGTTAAATAATATTTCAATTTTTGAGGCTTTTAAAGCAGGAGATTGAGATTGAGAGATTGAAGTTAAAATATCGTTTTATAAGGTTCGACTTTCTGCGAAGATATCAGTAAAGATACTTTTTTTATGCTGTTCCAGAAAAGGTTAAAAAATCATCATTAAAAGAAGAAGTCTTTGCGCTCAATTAAATGGCTTTTTTTTTTTTTAAAAGATATCTTAACTCTGATTTAATATACTGCCTAAATCCAGATGGATCGCTTCATAGAGTTGTAAGACTAAAAGCTTTTCGTGCGCATTGCCTAAGCATATGTAAGATTAGGAATATATATTACTTAGCATGATGAATCTTATTGTTAGTGGCAAACTTATATGCTTGGCATTATGTCTTTTTACTTTGCAACATGCCAGCTTCGTAACGAAAGGGCGGGTGTGAGGTGCACGTTTTATTTGTTTGTTGTCACATAACGACGCTTGGCGGCAGCGAGGCACGTGCCACGTGCCATATTGTTCTTCCTGCTGCCTTTCGGCTATGTAATGGTTGGGTGTTAACACAAAGTTTGTGTGTCTGATTCGATATATTTGGGCAGGCGGACCGGTCCGCCCCCCCACCCCAACAACGCACAGTCGCAGATGCTGCAAATGATGAGTTGTGCCTAATTCATAACCACATCGAAAGGAATTAACTCGCAGCATGGAGCTGCCTCCAGCGAAGGCCTCCTCTTTGGGGTGTCAGAAGGGTGGAATTGTTCTGTATGTGTGTGTGGGTGTGGGTGTGTTAAAATCAAGTCGCTTCAACACGTGTCTTAATTCGTTTGGGTGAGATTTTTACAAGCAGGCAAGGGGTTTCAAAACTCAAATTAATTTCGCTACCGACGAGAACTGTCATCAATCGATTGGCTGGCAAGTCAAGAATTTAAGGTAAAAGATTACAAATTTGTATAATCAAACAAGCAAATTGCGAACAGTTGACCAACTGGATGATGCGATAGAAAAAAGAATTGCATCCATCTAATTCGATAGATGCCAATTTTGGGTAGAGATGAAATTTAGCCCGCATTTTGTGTGTGAAAATATATAAAACTTGCAATATTTTCAGTACAACGGGCAAATGTAAATTAAAAACTAAATTGTTTAATTAATAATTTAAAAAATATATGACAAGCAAAGGTTTGAACCAGCAGAAAAGTGAGGTGCTGATGAAAAGAGCGATCATTTCTTTATGAGTTTGCAACTAAAAATCTCGAGTAGGTTTTATATGGAGAAACGGCCACGTTTTAATTGTTGACCAGGAATATATTTTTATGCAAGCCTCTGATGCATATTGTTCAATCAGGCAGAAGATAAAAGTTGAGCATCCGATCGATTGTTATGGGTCTGTGAGCCATGCTCTATACATTTCATTTTCGCCGTTGTAAACTTTGATGTTGGAGTGCAAACAACCTTATGTAGGTGAAAGAACATCGGATGTGGCTGTGTTTGTCACCAGGGGGTCCCAGGCATGTTGCCTGCTTGCCCAGATATGCATTCGTATGGCACCAAGCCATCACCATCAACGATATTCAAGTAATCCCTTGTTTGTTTCTTTGTCTGCATATATTGTTGTTAAACAATCCCAGCATAACCACAATGACAGGGCACTTGGACATAAGACAACAGACCATCATCAGCAGCAGCAGCGGCAGCGACAGCGGCAGTCGCAGCAGAGTTCATGGTAGAAACTAGTTAGTCAGATCGGCGCAAGTAAGCAATTTCACAAATAAGAACATATTCCCTCTGTTCCAAGCACGACAGCAGGATAAGATAAGAACAAAACTCCGCCAGCGCCTGCTGTGCAGGTCAGACACAGTTTGCGCAGTATGACGTAGTTTTTTTTTTTTTTTTGGTTTTGTTGCTTTTTGGGCTTTGGCTTTGGCGGCTCACACCAATCTGGAGGAGCTGCTGCTGCACAATCATAAATTATTATTACCCTTACCAAAAAAAAAAAAAAAAAACAAAACAGTAACTCGAGGTTTAAATCTTCAAATATCAATTCACAAACAAGCGCAATCAATTGTGCTCCTAGCAAACATGTAAGCCTTATTCCTAATTCGCTTTGTACAACGAGAAGTAACTTGCAAATAAGTAACTTCCAGTTAAATCATGGAAATCGATATTCTTGTGTGCACATTCTTAAACAGTCAGCGGAAATGATTTCTCCAGTAAATATGTTTATCATATACCCAATTCACATTGTAAATCTAAAACTAGCTTGCAAATATCTTCCGGTTAAGTCTTGTATCTAAGTCACACAGGAATTTATGCTCTGGAAATGATATCCCTACTAAATCTGTCCATTAAGCCCATATTTCCCTAAATCACATTGTAATGCTTAAACTAACTTGCAAAGAATTAGCTTCCAGTTAAGTCTCGATAGTAAGTAAAATATTACCCAAGCGTGCGAATCCTTGAATATCTATAGTTTCAAACAGTCGCAGCACTCTATCTAACCCAGTTTTAAATTGGTAGAACATGAACTTACTTGTAAATACGTATCCTCCGGCTAAGTCCTCATGCGCCCAGATACAGTTGGGATATCGCACCTATAGGAAACAAACAAAAATAAGAAATATGCAAATTTGTGTACGTTGGAACAATGGACTAACCGTTTAAGTAATTGAATCTCCATTTTCTTCTGTTTACATTTGCAGCATCGTCGTCGCCCGGCTCGGCCACTTTGGCTAAGAACACAATGAAGCTGAGTGGAAATCCCCTATTCTACTCACTTTGGCATGTCCTGGGACACCGCAATTGAGCATTTGGCTGGCACATTAAGAGCACGGATCGGGGTGGAACGGCCAAATAACCATAAATGTGTGGACTGGAGTGGAGTGGAGTGGAGTGACAAAGAGTGGGCGTTGCTCTTCAATCCAATTTTAGGATTTGATTCCATTTAGGATTGCATTGAAGGATTACGAATAGGCGAAAAAAGGTCTTCGAAAGCCAATAATGGTATGCAGGCGATTTTATTTCCCTCTTGCGTACATTAAACTTCAAAAAGGATTTACTGTAGTCAAAATTAATGATGTTTTCTCTCATTACATTTAAATTAGATTATTTTATAATTTAATGCTTGTACATTAACTTGAACAAATGCGAACACATGTTTGTTAACCATTTAATAGCGGAAACAATTTTATGTGACTAACAAAACTTGTTTTCAGCACTTCCGACCAAGATAGTTAATTCATAGCTGCTGCAGTACAAACGGGTTTTAACAAATCGTACATATCGCATTACTTTTATATTGAAAAAGCCAACTGTTTTTTGTTAACACTTTTGCAAATTACACTAGGCAACAAGTTATAAATTTATGTCAATTGTCTATCGTACAAAAGCCCAATATGATACCAAGAAAGTTGCGAGTGCTCGACTCGAAGATATCCTGTACACAGCTTCAAATAAAAGGGGACTATACAAATTCCTCTAAATTGAAATAAACAGATTTTTATTACGAATTTCGTGAAAAACATACTGCTCTTGTTTTTGAGAAAATTCCGTATAAAATTTGACACCTCTGTATTTATTCCTCGCAGCCAACTAACGATATTCAACTTATATCGAATAAGTTAACTCTCTTAATTGAAATTGTCATCCATTATGAAAAGACAGCGTAAAATCCCCTGCGGACTGCTGAGCTACTCGCTTGCTGAGCTGTCAGAGCCTGGTGAATTGGGGTGTTTTTAATGGGTCAATTGAAGTGCTTAAAAATGCAAGTTACTTTGCAAAGAAACACGCTTCAGTCCTATGGAGAGTCTATGAGCCTGTATTGAGCCAGGCAACAAGGCTTGCGACTATCTTATGTACGGCATAGACGAGGTCCTTTCAACAATTAAATGACTATGGTATTTGTTTACTGGCAGGATTGGGCTTTCTTTGCTGCTGTGATATCCCATTCGCTGGCAGCATTCGGAGTTTCACGAGTTAATGCGATAAATTTGCATATTTTGATTGTGTTGCGGTCAACAATGGGTTGCTTTCTGAATTAATGGGATTTTGCAGGCTTATGCAAAATCCGCCAAATATTTTACAATTTTAATTAAATTATCCCGAGCTTTTAACACTACCAAGCTGCGAATACACATTATGTACACGCAGCACAGTAAATTGTATATAGGCATCATGTACATCAGTTATCTGTATATATATAGACAATATATATGGCGAAGTTATCTATTGCTTTATTTGTCAACTGCAAGTGGAAAGGACAGCAGCATCGTCAGCTCCGACTTTACTCCTTGCAGCTGCTGCCGCAGGATCTGCCCCTAGCAAACCGCAACACGCATCGCGCAAATTCAATTTCAATATGGAAATTTCTGATGGGCATACCCACGCATACGCCTCTCCTGTTTTAATGAGGCTGCAGCCGGTATCGCTCCTGCAGCCTGCAGCCTGCAGCCTGCCGTTTAACGATATGTGAGTTCTTAACCTCCTCCACTGCACTCCCAACCGGAATGCCCGAGGGTATTGGGGGTATTGTTTGCGTTTGTGGTAGTGTCGACACGTGTTTTCATATTCCAGGCAACTGTCACAAAATGCTCCCACTATATATTTATACAATAGAGTACCCGAACAAGAGATACAACTATTGCAGAGCTTGTGCTGTTTTGTTAAGCTCATTATGTTTCTAATAGATGCGCATCTAACACAGGATTAACAGGCTGTGCGTGTTATTGAAAGTAAATCATAATATGTTTTTGTAATTGAGACTTTACTATTCAAATTAATTGTTATTCAAATTTGCTCTAGCCATTGTCATATTAATTGCGTTTAATCCCGAACAAGAGGTATAGAAAGTTAAAGAATCAGCTTAAAGAGAAGAATACAGTACAACACCTAAGCTCATGAGAATCGCATAGAAAGGCGATTTTGAAATGGGAAATGGATTGTGTTGAGGGCAAGCGAAAAATTACTAGAAATAAATTTGGTTATTTCTAAAAGTTTCATAGAGAGGATACGTAAAATGGAACAGCCGTAAGAATAGAATATTTTTATTGCTATAGAAGCTTATCAATATCGAATCCTATTTCTTGTTCCCACCTGGAAGTGTGTTTTTCACCACTGTGTGAGAGGTTCGAACGATTTTTGGCATCGATAATAAAATCAACCCCTTACAAAACCAAATACATCATGTATGTTTGTACGTTAACACGGGGCCTTTCACGATTTGATGCGTGCGTGTGTCGAGGGCTTCGAGCAGGGGTAATCAGTCATATTATAATTTTGATTATCCCACAGCAAGTCAAACCGTCACGAAATCCCTTTTAAGCAACGCAAAATATTAGCAACATCATTATTGTATTCGACGTTAACAGGAAAATTCGCTTTGTGGTAATTCAATTTTCGGGGTGGTTCGTGGATTTGTTTCACCAAAATAACATACAATAACAAAATAACATGTGACCAAGTCACAGTGGAAAATTATGGAGGCAAACCTAAGAAAAGATACAATTCCTATTTGATATACCAGAGAAGTTGAAATAGTTGAAATAATTGAATTTACGACTAGACAAATGAATAATTATCCATTATTAATCTGTTCCATATATATGTGTGTATACTAATATTAAAAATATTATATTATAAATAAATAAATATTTATTTGTTGGCTGGCTCGAGGTCCGAGTTTGTTAAAACAAACAATGAAAAACAATTTTATTCAATTCTCTTCCGATATATTTCGGTTGCACATCGGCAAACCGTCTTCAGGGCACTAACACCAAGATACAAAAAACAATTAACAATTATAATACAATAAATTAAACATTATTTCGAACATTTTACATACATTATTTTACACGTCTGCGCTTTTTGACGTGGAGATTGTTACTGAGGTTGTTTGACTGTTTAAGAGGTGTCTGTACAAGTGAGCGCAATTTTCTGTGTCTGTCTTGTAGTTTAGTCGTTTGTAGGTTGGTGTGTTAATTATGTGTAGCATTTCCAATGTGTGTCGCTTGTTATAGTGTTGTTCTTGTTGTAAGATTGTTGTTTCATCAAAATTTGGTGTGTGGTTGCTTCTTATACAATGGGTCATAAGTGCTGTTTTCTGTATATTATTTTGATGTCTTAGTTTGAAGTCCGATTTATGTTGACTAATCCTTGTTTTTAGCTTCGATTTTGTTGTACCTATGTAGACACTATTGCACTTGTTGTTGTTATCCCCGCCACATGGTATTTGGTAAACGACGTTGCTTTTTTCGATCATCGGGATTTTCGACTTTATCTTGTTGAAGAATTTTTGTAATGTATTCGTCGGTTTGTGTGCTACTTTTATATCTTGTTTGTTATAACAGTCTGAGTTTGTGAGGCGTTCTGATAGTCGTGGTACATATATTAGTGATTTGTATATTTTAGCAGGTTCTGTTGGCTTTTTTCTTTCGATTTGTCGTCTTTTTAATAATGTTTTGATTATATTTGGGGGGAAGTCATTTTTGGTCAAAAGTTCTTTGATTTCATGTTCAATTTCTTTGTGGTATATTGTGTCCGATATTTTCATCATTCTATTCATACAGCCTAGTGCTGTATTGATTATCATACTCTTTGGGTGGTTTGAATTGAAGTTGAGTATTCGTCCGGAGGCTATGGGTTTCCTATACCACTTTATTTTGAGTGTGTTGTCCATTCTGCTTACAATAGAGTCTAAAAATGGTAATTTCCCGTCCTTTTCTAATTCCATTGTAAATTTTATCTGTTTGTGGAAGGAATTCAATTCTTTTAGAATATTTTCCACGTCTATTTTGTTCGTTATGGCAAAAAGGTCATCTACATATTTGGTCAAGAGTCTTGGTTTTATTTTTAATTTATCTGTAATCTTGTCCAACAGTTCCTCCATTAATATATCTGCGATTACTGGGGAAGCCGGTGATCCCATTGGCATTCCCTTAAGTTGTGTGTATATTTTGTCTTCGTATTTGAAATATCTGTTTTCCTGTATGCAAAATCTAACTATGTCCATAAATAGTTGTTTCGGTATATTCGTGTGCTCTTCTAATTTGGTCCATTTTTGTCTTATTGTGTCAAGTGCTAATTCTATTGGTATGCTGGGAAATAAGGATACTACGTCAAAAGATACTAATGTTTCCTCTTCTCTAATCTGGGAGTTGTTGACTCTGTCTTTAAAATCTACCGCGTTCTTGATGTTGTACCTAGAGTCCATTGTCAGATTTTTTAATATTTGTATTATATATTTGCACAGCCCGTAAGATGGAGATCCTATGGAAGAACATATTGGTCTCAGTGGAGTTCCTTCCTTGTGTATTTTTTGAGAGCGAGAGAAATATAGAAAACAAAATAACAACAACACTCAAGAAAAGACAAGAAACGAAACACGATAAGTTACGAGATCAACGGAACCTAGCCTTAGCGGATAACAACACGCAAAGAGAGTGGTTTGTAAACAAAACAAAAATAGAATTCCCGCCAAACGTCGTAGCGTTACTCGCAAAAGGGCCGAAGTTCGCTCTCCCAATCAGCAAGAGAGATTTTCCTCTCTTGAAATACATCGCAGACGGTGAGGAGCTAGTGCAAACAATAAAAGAAAAGGAAACACAAGAGTCGGCGCGCACAAAATTCTCTTTGTTAGTCAAAGAGCATAAAACCAAGAACAACCAAAACAGTAGGGATCGAGCAATACTGGACACAGTGGAACAGACACGAAAATTACTGAAAGAAAATATAAATATTAAAATTCTATCGTCGGATAAGGGCAACAAAACCGTAGCAATGGATGAGGATGAATATAAAAATAAAATGACAAATATTTTAGACGACTTATGCGCGTATAGAACATTGAGACTGGATCCGACATCAAGACTACAGACAAAGAATAACACCTTCGTAGCACAATTATTCAAGATGGGTCTTATTTCAAAGGACGAAAGAAATAAGATGACTACAACAACAGCGGTACCTCCGAGGATATATGGACTACCAAAAATACACAAGGAAGGAACTCCACTGAGACCAATATGTTCTTCCATAGGATCTCCATCTTACGGGCTGTGCAAATATATAATACAAATATTAAAAAATCTGACAATGGACTCTAGGTACAACATCAAGAACGCGGTAGATTTTAAAGACAGAGTCAACAACTCCCAGATTAGAGAAGAGGAAACATTAGTATCTTTTGACGTAGTATCCTTATTTCCCAGCATACCAATAGAATTAGCACTTGACACAATAAGACAAAAATGGACCAAATTAGAAGAGCACACGAATATACCGAAACAACTATTTATGGACATAGTTAGATTTTGCATACAGGAAAACAGATATTTCAAATACGAAGACAAAATATACACACAACTTAAGGGAATGCCAATGGGATCACCGGCTTCCCCAGTAATCGCAGATATATTAATGGAGGAACTGTTGGACAAGATTACAGATAAATTAAAAATAAAACCAAGACTCTTGACCAAATATGTAGATGACCTTTTTGCCATAACGAACAAAATAGACGTGGAAAATATTCTAAAAGAATTGAATTCCTTCCACAAACAGATAAAATTTA